AACGATAGAATCGGATTTTGTTCGTTTCGCGATTTCAAACGAAAGTAAACATCCCCCTCCACCCCAATGTTTCTAGGTATATATATATATGACACGATATTGTTCTTTTTTTCTTCTTTTTTTCTTCTTTTTTTTTCCAATTGCATCTTTCCAATATTTTATTCTCCATCCTCTCGTTAAATAAACATACACGACGACGACGACCCCAAACCACCACGCTTTGGCATATATTTTTCTTGGGTTTTTTTTTTTTTTATTTTAATAATATCCGAAATATAAAAGACATTTTTCAAAGACACGACTGACTAATATTTGAAAAATAATTAAAGATAATAATTCATATCGAGTCACCCTATATATATATATATATAGAACTAATTAACGTATTCGTAAGGGACATTAAGAGTACTATAATCGGAGTTAGGAAGTTCCTCTACCATTTACAACATTTAACCTATTCGCCATACTATGAATTGTATACGTAACATACTGTAGTAGGAATATTACAGAATACTATTTCCATTCTACGCTTGGTACAATTTAAGGCACTAACGTAACCCACCTGAAATGGTATGAGTGCTTTCTAAATTTGGTCTGGTAAAAGAGAATGACGTCATAATTCTACTCTTGCATTTATGCCTTTTTTTCTTTTTTTCTTTGTGCGTCTGTGGGTGTGTGCATGTGTGTGTTTTTTTTGTTTCTTTCATTTTTTTTTCATTTTTCTCTTCGTGGGAACGAACGTTATCTCATTTCTGTAGCACGCTTGATAAATTTTCGAACATTTTTCCTTCGGTGCAAAGAAAAAAAAAAGAAAAAGAAAAAGAAAAAGAAAAGGGAAAAGTAAAGGAAAGAAAGAGAGGAAAGAAAAAGGGCTACTCGTAGGGAAACCTTTTTATAAGCCCTCCTATTGTATTCGCATAATATCGTACTTTACGAAAAGTTTGAATATTTCAATATGGATACAGCTACTTTGGAAAACGACTAGAGAAAGATTCTAATTAATTCCTCGTTCTTTGATTAATGCATACGGGTTATAAGTGAATTTTCTTTTTTTTCTTTTTTGTCTGTTTTGTTTAATCGACGATTTTTATTAAAACTTTTCATATCACTTATATTGTCTCAATTTTTTCTTTTTTTTTTTTTTTTCAACGCGTTCAATGAAATGTCCGAGACAGAAAATTTTATATTAAACATAAAACAGATTAATTAACGATATTAAAAAGCTTCGTCGTTGTTATAAAATGGGTAAGAAATTTTTCATTTTCTTCTTTCTTTTTCCTTTTTTTTTTTTTTTCGATATATCACCAAGATTCTTAAAAAGTGAAAATAATAAATTCGTTGTCATCCATTGGTGGAAAATATCTTTTATGTCGTCTTTTAAATGCATTAAATATTTTACTTTGGAAATAAGATAAATAAATTTTAAACTAAGTTGTTATAAAGGAACGTAACAACAACAACTAGTTACGTGGTTGAATAACTTATGTAATTTTAATTGTACAATTTAACTTTAGGTCGTGGTGCACACGTGCATACGAATCTTTGATTTGTCTATACAAGGGAAGTACTAAGTTGACATAAAACCGAGTTTGTTTAAATTCTACACAGTTATAGGAGCTTACAAGGATCGTAAATTGCGCGAACAATACTTAAACCTATCGAAAAAAGAAATAAATTTATATCAGTGGGTTGAAAAGTTTTGAGCCTAAGATGAATCAAAACAAATTTAAATCTTTATGGTTTTCCATACTATGATATTAATTAGACAAACGAATTTTTCTCAAAGCTAAAAATATAGATAATAAATACAAAACCAAAATGAATATATAATTTCACATTAAACCGAATAAACTTTATTATAAACGATTAATTTTCGTTCGATATATATAATTTAAATGTGAAAATCAATTTTAATTAAGTTTACAATCCCAGTATATATATATGCGCGTAAAACCCTCATCTTAATCCACGAAAAATGTAAGGAGAGAAAAAGTTTGGAAAAAGGTGGAAAGTAGGTTGGTATCAAGAAAAAGTTGATCCTTTTGGAATGACTGGCAACAACTTTGAAAAAGGAAAAAAGATAAAAGTTTGAGTTTTGATCCAAGCTTTCGATATTGCAAACGTTCAACGGTAAGTATCAAAAAGACCAATGGCAAAACTTTTCAGTATCTAAACCCCCCCCCGCCCCCGCCCTTTATCTTCTTCTTACGTCACTAAACAACGTTTTGTTCGTTTCCTATTTATACGAGGAGTTTGCGTATTTGTCGAGTTAACAATTCGATTTTAAACGAAAAAAAAAAAAAAAATAGCAAGGGTTTGTTGCAAACTAAATTTCACGGTCGTGATATTATAAACTTCTATGTATCATAAGCTTCTTTTATTAATATTCGTTTTTTTCTTACTTATTTTTTCAAGATCACGATATAAAAACGATTAGCAAAGATTTCTTTAAAACATCCCCCGTAATCTTTTCGATAGACGACAAGACATAATAATACACTTTTAAAACTTTACTTTACTTTACTTTACTTTCTTTCTTTCTTTCTTTCTTTCCTCCTTTTTATCTTTTATTCTTCAATCTCATAGTTCGTGGTTTCTCTTTTAACAAGGCATCCCGTTGATCCCTACTTTATCTTTTATCATTTTTCCATCTTCTTTTCCTATCTTTGTTTTTAAATGAAATTACCGAACAGAGTATTTTCAAACTTATTTAAGTGTCATTTATCTTGGCATAGTTTATGTTAGAAAATTTTAATGGAAATAATATTGAAAAGTATCAAGGCAACACACAACAGGAATTCAAAATGAATATTGCAAAATAATTTGTACAAATATTTATGGGTAGATGAAAAAAAAAACAAAAAAAAAAGCAAAGAACTTTGACAAATATCACGAGGTAAAACTACAAAAATTTGCAATCCTCCTTATACGTGGGTGCTAACTTCATGGGGAGGGAGGGGGGGGGGGTCACCGTATAAAGAAATCAATGTACGAGTCCAGTTCATTCTATCAATTCATCCCGTAGACAAAAGAAGGAAATGAATTTCCCATAGAAATAGTTTCGACGTTTTACGTTCGTTCCTGCAGTGTTCACGTTACGACCTTTTTCACTTAAACTAACGAAGAACATCTCTACATTCGCGTTTCACACTTTTACTTTAAAGTAATAGAACCAATAATAATAATAATAATAATAATAATAAAAATAATTATAAATGAAAATGAGAGAAATAAAATTGTCATAGAAAATACTACTAATAACGATAAATAAATTAAAAATGATATATAAATATGCGAGAGAATATTGATTTTATTATTCGTGAACGTGTATTCAATGACAAATTTTTTTTATACGATTTAATTCATCTCAGTTATTTTAATTATTATTTTAATACTTTCCAGGGGATTTTCTAACCCTGTCCACGTGTCAGTTTCTATGCAATTTAACATGGATCGGAGTAAAAAAGAAAGAATGGTTTTCATCTCGCAACAACAACCAACACCACCACCACCACCACCGTGTGCATATTCTTTTCCCTTGACCTTTTTTTTTTTCATATCAACGTGCATTTTTAAAGTCGAGAAAAATCAGATAAAACTCATGAGGTTTTTACGTTAACGTTAGAAAATATATACACACACCATACCATCTTTGGTGACATTATACCGAGAAGCAACATAATAAGAGATTAAAGTCCGTTATTATTATCTTTCGATCTTTTTATTAGACTGTCCGAAGGGGAAAAAAAAATCTTTCTCGTTGATATTTAAGGTCAATTTATAAAAGCAACATTATTAAATTTACATATATAATTATAAAGGGAATTTTCTCAAAACACATTCTTTATATATATATTTAAATATTTATTTTTCAAATCGTCAGAGAAACATAATCGAGAAATTTCCCGTTATATATATATACATTAATAACAAATGCATAAAGTATTGATGCATAAAGTAAAATAAAAATGAAAAGTGCAATATGTTATAATCAATGCAGGAAAGATGATATAAATTTGGAAAATGTATTGTCTATATTTTATTGAATTAATCAATGAATGATATTGCAAGAAAATAAGAAAAAGAGAATAAAATATGAAATAATTTATTGGAAGGAAGAGGAATATTGTTTTGATGCGATGCATGTGTGGTTGGAGGATGTCATTTCAAATATAAAAAAAAAAAATAAAAAAGAAGCAACCGAATAATAAATTCGGATATTGATAATAATGAAAGATCAATTGGAAAATAATTATATATAAAGATATTTCATTAGAGAAATATTGAAAAACAAATATACAAATCTTAGTATTAAATTATTCGATCTATTTGTGTGACGAATAAAAAAAGTAATAGGAAAATAAAATATATTTTAGAAATGGGCTTGAAAATGTATCGATCAATAAGAACGGACAATAAGCCATTGGCACGGACACGTTTATTTGAGATGGGAAAATTGGTAGCTTCTGTGTGGAATGAGGAAAATACCTAAGTTATAGAAAGCCGATGAATGATGTGGTTGCAAAACATTCAATGAGGCGTATCCGTCGTGCACTTCGCTGAATTTCCGCGTTTTTCTTTTCGAACTAAAGCGTTGCATCTTATACCAGTCAGACACGTAAAGGAAAAGTAAAGGGAAAGGAAAGGAAAGGAAAGGAAAGGAAAGGAAAGGAAAGGAAAAAAAGGATAAAAAGGGAAAAGGAAGGAAACACAAGTAAGTATTGCTCCCTTTTTCCTCGCCTTTCAAACTACAACCAATCTACCATCCGTTTACGTATAAAAGAATCAACATTTTACGAACACTTTCCTATAAACCTCTCCTCCCAATCATAATCTTTATAATAGATGACTTTACACATACACGGATACTTGTTATTATACTTATCGATGTGAACTTTATGAAATCACATTTTTTGGATAATTAGGATTTCTAAAAAATTAGGTTAAAAACAATTGATGTTTTATTACCTATAAAAGTAAAGATAAAAACGAAACCTTACGCGAAATGCATCTCGCAATTCTTGTTCCTCCTGATCCTGATCTGCAGAAGTTCCGGAATTCTCGTCACCGATGTTGCTGACGATCTCGACGAATTCTTCAAAACTTACAGTACCGTCACCTGAAAAAAAAAGAAATATCAATCAGAAATGTTAAACGTTTTATTACGTTATTCACAGATATCATTCGAGATATCACAAAACAATCATTGGAAAACTTTGTACAAGTTGATATACAAAAAGAATGTATTTAATGTTCTTCATTTAATAATAATAATAATAATATTATACAGTGATTATAAACGTTAACGATGGTTAGTTAAGAATAAAAAAGAAATATATAATGACGTTTGATGTAACACAAAAAGCAAACGGGAATAAAAAAAATCTTAATGCGTTCTAATGAAACAACCATGTCAAAGAAAATTATACATTAAAATTATTGGGTCTGGTTTTTTTGTTAAAAAAAAAAAATCGATGATTGCATAACGACAAAGTAACATTTTCTTCGTCACAAGACGGAAGAATCTTTTATATAACACACGTTCCTTTTTTAAAGCTTCTTTTCTTTCCCTGTTGTTGCTCGCTTCGATCCTCTTTTACACGTACCGACGTACAAAAACAATTTTTAACCTTTCAAGAGGAAAAACCATACACATACTCGTTCGTCTTTCTACCCCTCCCCCTTTTACTCCTCCTCCTTCTTTCGTATTTTTTCTTTTGAAAGAGTATTTTTGCGTTCATACATACGTTTCTCTGTACCTTTCTCTAATTTATAGTAAAAAGGAGAAAATAAAAGAAAAAAAAAGAAAAAAAGATAAAGAATTATTGCATTTTTCTTCTATCCAATCGGCAACCGAATATTTTCTCGTTTGTAATAATCGTATCTTTTTCTGATTTTATCATTTATATGAAATTCTTTTAGATATTTTTGTATTTATTGAATTTTACGTTGTTCGATGTTATAAAAAATACCATGAATGACATCGATATAATTTAAAACACTGTATTCACCCGTATACAATGTATTATTATTCGGCGTATTCAAAAGAAGATTGAGGAAAGAACGTGAAGAACAGAAGTAAGACCGCAATTAAAAAGCTTACAAAAGGAATTCGAGATTGTGAAATACGAGTAACCAAGTCGGAAAGTATTTTGTAAGCGTTGCGTTTTAATCTTGGAAACGATTACGACTGCAAATACTTAAGCTGTTTGAGAAGTATTACTCAGTGAAAAGGAATTTTAAAGACTTTCCCAAGCTGTTTTATATGTTTTCTTACTCGAAATCGAACACATTTTCACTCACATCTATCAAATACTATCGAAAAAAAAAATCTGTCTAAAATCAACAGGAGACGATTATTTTCACAATATATAACCCCCATCTATATTTTATTATACATGCTTAAGTTATTTAAATTTAATAATCCAACGTGAATAAATATCATTAACTTGTAATACAATATACGTTAATATTACAACAATCACAAAATAATATATTTTTATTAACAATAAGAGATTGATAAATGACAATAACCAAAGTGATTGTTTTTCTAAATGAAAATTTGATCATATTATACTATTCAAATTGTATTCGAGTAATAAGTAGATATACTTTTTCGGCAAGGTGAAAATATTTAAAGTTGAAATTTGAAAGCGACGCGAAAAGTGAAAGGTTTCTGACTGGTTTGAGATAAACTTCTAGGGAAATAATATCGATCTTGACAAGACTTGGAAGAAACGAGAGAAAGGGGAAAGTTAAGAAGTATTTAAACTTCGGAGTCGCGTGCAAGTTGTTTCGCATCACGTGCCTTTGCAATATTTTTTTTTTTCTTTGACTTTTTTTCGAAGGGATGATTCCTATAGGTGATAAATTTTCTATAATTTCAAATAGAAGGAGACGATCGTAATGGATGGAAAATCTTCAAAGGCTGTGGCGCATTAAAGTACTCGAGTATCGCATGCTTTCAATCTATTAACGGTGACCCGTATAATGTATTAGCCAAAAGCTTTTAATAGCGTCAAAATGTACAGTAATAACGAACTGTATCCTACCAACTACGACGAGTGGATCCACCTGTGACACACACCTGCACGACTTCACTTTCTTCCTAATGTTTCTTAAATAGAAAAGCAACTCTTCCTCGCAATCTTTCATTCACGTTAAAACTTTTCAAGAAACACGATTTCTACTGAATCGTTATAAAAAAAACAAAAACCTCGATATTTTTTTCACGATTTATAGGTACCTTTATTCGAATTTCAAAGCCAAACTCTACATAGTATTTTACCTTTTATTTCTATAACGCCAATTTGTCAATCGGTTAAAAAATATATAACTATTATTATTGTCTGATGCGAATCAAATAATTTCTCGTATTTTTTGATTGAAATTCTCGTCAATGAATATTGATAATAGAAATTCACACAATACAGGGTAAGAGTAAATTGATAAATATTAATCGAATAACATTTAATTTCAATGGATTAAAATAAATATTGAATAAAAAATTTGCAACGAACTATTTTCGGGAAAAGGTAAATAGTTCTTAGCGAGAATTGAAAAAAATATGTTCCGAAAATATTTCGTAAGAAATTAATATCGCGTTTGCATAAAAAAATAAACGAAAAATCCGAACGAATTCGAACGAATGATATCGATGATAAATAAAAGTGTTGAAGTCACTTTATCGAACAATTTATAAACTTTATTTCCAGGTATTTGAACTTTCACAAAAGCTTTGTGGGAAACGAATTTGTCGCGTTTGGTTTTTGAAATATTTTCGGTTTCCGTCATGATCCTGGGCTGGTTAAGGAAAATGAACTCAAAGACGTAATACTCCGATGGGTGATCACGAAGCTGAAGGAAAAGTTTTCGAAATAAAGGAAGAAAAGAAATAAAGACGTCAATTGGATTTTATTCGTTTTTACAATGTCTTTTGGAGTGCATCTGAAAGCATTGTACTGTCTTACAGTCTTCCAATACAAAACCAAAATACTGTAAAATACCGAACGTGCAAGAACATAAAGTTTTCTTTTCTCGTAAACTTGATTAATCACTTTTTGTCATTTCCTTCTTCCATTATTCACTTTCGTATTACTTTTCCGGACATTTTTTTTTTCTCTCTCTCGAATAACTTCTCAACTATAATTAAGAATTTTATAATATAGCCTGATATTTTTCTTTTGCCAATTAATCGACAAATACGTGCATACTACGTTAAAACAAGGAATCTAGATTTCTTCCTATTTATGACTTTTTGAAAAATATTTTTGATAGGCGCGTCCTAGATAAAACTAAGCGGATTTTACGAAGGGATAAGAACCGTTGTAAACAGGATTTAGAGTGATAATACGCTCCGACGAATATTTCCTCGTGAATTTTCTCTGCCTACGTGCGTCTAAACTTATCCAATCTCTTCATCTAGTTTTTGTTCTCTTTCGGACACGTATATAACGTATGTTACGTGAATACCTGTATCAGATTACCCGGATAAATTTTACAATTCTAAATATTTAATTTTTTATTTATTTCTTTTTTTTTTCAAAAAATATATATACACGGAACGTTCGCAAAATTTGAGATCAATTTTATATTACGTATTACAAAATGTAAATATTTACAAATATTTCAATCTTCCATAAATAAAAAACGTCCATGATAATACGATTATACAATAGGATTTAATAAAACTAATCTTAAGATAAATTTCACCTGTAAATTTGATTACATTTATATATGAACTTTCTTTTATCGTTCATTTAACTTCAGTACTACGTAATTTGGTCGAAATCTTTTTGGACACCCTGTATATATATATGTATGACGGTATTATAAATTGAGCATAGGATATATACCCGCTTTGGGAAAACAGACACGACTCTAAGCAATGTTAAATTTCTCCGGCACGTGATTCCCTCAGCTGAGGTACTTTAAATGCTGTTGAAAATTTTCCTACCTTAGGTGCATAGTAGTACATATGTATATACACCTACGTTTACATATGAGAAGCTAGTAATATAGCTATGTATCGTTACAAAGAAAGAGGGAGAAAGATAGAGAGAAAGATGAAAGAAGAAAAGACCCGTTGATCCCTTGGCCAAGATCGTTTTAACAACTTGAACCTTATGAGAATAACTTCGAAATGATAGTTTGACGTCAACCTTGGAAAAGTGGATCGAAATTTTACTCGCGATATTTTTCTGACAACTATATATACATATCGTGACCAATCAAATGGACATTTAAAAAAAAGAAAAAATACAAAACGCGTATTTTAATATAGAATGAAATTATTCGTTAATTGGATAACGAAGAAAATATTTTCTGTTTTTTTTTTTATATATATTATGAATGAAAAATTATCTATGCATAGTAAATCATAATTTCAAATTCCTACCCAAGTTGGTAACTTTAGTAACCGTTTTATCTTCATAGGTAAGTAACTATGTACTTAATACTTCCCAGGTTCCTTTTTGAGGAAGAAAATAAAACTGCAGATTTAGGAATAGAAAGTTATGAGAAGTTTCCAAAAGAAATCGGATAAAAACTTTAACTTTTTGATAATACAAGTGTGAGTCTGATTTTTACACGAAAATTCAAAGATTTTTCATACATCGTTTTAATTTAATAACCCTTATTATTAGATCAAATCTGCAGAAATATTATTCTCCTTCATAAATTGAATTTCAATTGAGAATTATAAATCTAAGTAAAAGTTCAATTTGTTAATTATTTTAATAATAAATCAAATCATGTTTATATAGTAATAATTAAAACAGTGCATTCATAATTGTTATTATTATTATTATCGTAGGAAAATCTAATAAACAAAATGAATAACATTAAATGGAGAATTTGGATTGCAAATTAAAACAAGCTACGTTACGTAAATACCTTTTACAGGTTATCGTAAATAATTACATTAATTGTTCGTACGTGAAAACACGAGTGTAATAACACTCAAATTGTTCAATAATAATTTAATTAGTTTGAAAAGTAAATCTCAGAACACGTGCATAAAAGTTACAAGCCGGTGTCAATTTGTTTCATTAGCACGTTCGAAAATCACTACCTTTATTCTACCCTTTTGACCTAACACGTGATAGAGTAATCCAAATC